ATTTCAAAGACTATCCGAAGAACTGGTCAACGGCACTTAAACTCAACTTTGCCCTGCAAATTCCTTGGTATTTCAACAAAACTTAGCTCATCTCGCTGCATGTTGTCTATGCAACATCCATTCAGTTAGCAATGTGTTCAGAATTCAAGACTCTTCAACAACTAATCCTTACACCTTTGCCTCCTTATGTGGTAGCAGCGCATGTTTAAGAACATTTTGACTCACCATGGTATTAACACACTCAGTGTGCCATAACTACAGCCATAGCAATCAGAGAGCGAAAATTTAGATGCAAAATTTTTTGCGAAGCTAGGACACCACATTGGATGGAAGTTTAATGAAAAGCTTGCCTGATGAAACGGAGGTAAAATGTAATCGATCCGAACAAGCGGTAACAAATTGGCCAAGATATTCTTCAGCTCAACGTCATTCAGCTCCGAGCGACGTATTCCTTTACGACTAATGCTGTGCGTGGTATTGGCGATCAAATTCGGCTCGCGCTCCTCCATTCGTCGAACCAGTTCATGCTCACCCCAACGTATCACTGTTTCGAGAATTTCCACTTCAGCACACTGGAACCCTTCGCATATAAATTATCAATTTACTTCGCTATTTTTTCACATCTTTTAAGAAAAAAAAATTTTAACAAACAGAATTCTTATCACCTATCTCTTACAATGCTTACTGCTCTTTATCAATGATAACATCGATCAGTCACTTACCAGTAGCTCGAAATACTCAATTACGTTTAGCATGTTCATACAAATTCATTTTCTATATGTAAGGTGATTTCGCAACAGCGAACGCACACACCAAAAAAAAAAAACGAACTGGAACATCAATACAAAAATTCTAAAACAATTGCCGATTTGCATGATTTCGAACGACTGGATGAGGTAAAACTGACAGTTACCCAACTTTATGAGGCAAAGTTACCCAACCCGTGTCTTCTCTACGCAAGCTGAAAACACTAAAGAAGCCATATTCTCTAAAACAGCTATCATTCTAGCCCCTCTGGCACATATTTTAGTAGCAATTTTGACTCACGCTAAATGTGAATTAGTTTTTCCACCGGTCGAGTCGAACTAACGACTTTCAGTCTCAAAATACCCCAACTTGGCACTCCATCAGGGGGTCAGCAGTATGCAAGGGCCGCATAGAAATGACCATCCAACTCTCAATTTGATTACAAAGAGCCATGCCAATAATGGAATCACGCACCTGGACATAGTCAGAAAGTAAGCAGTCACGCAACATGTCCTCCTCGAGCTCGAACAATACATGTGACGAACATATTCGCGAAAACTCGGTACGTAGGAAAGCAGTGCAATGACGACGCACAAATGCCGACCCTCCGGGCTCGAATGCCCAATTCCACAAGCTACTGACCGTCTCCACCGATATCTGAGCCACGATAGCATCTTCACAAGCTGAAAACGGCCCCTGTGTGGTGCAATTTGGTGAGAAAATTAAAAAAGAATGAGTGGAAATAAGAGTGACAGAATGCACTGCTAAAAGTCGAAAGCAAAAAGAAAGAGCAGGCGCTCCGGCCTAGTTACCCTCGTATAATAAGCATGCAACCATTGTAGTAGATTGAGCACGTAAGCGCCACAAGTTACAAGCGTATTTTTCAGAATCGAATTCCCAGAGGAGAAAACTGGCAAAGAGCCAAAGGTCGGTCCACGATAAAAATGTGATCGATTGAGAATGGCTTAAACCTCCTACTGGAAAATGAAAACCAGGTAAACAATGAAAACAGAAAAAGCATACAGTGTGCAAGCTGCGGGAGGCTCAGGAACTGGGCGATGTGGAATATATCGATGGCATGACGAAGTGGCGCCAAGTGCCGCTGGCCAGATGCAATTGCTTGGACTTCGGTTAAGCTGCTCGCCGACACTTGACATCCTTCCAACATCTTAAACAGTACCTCAGACAGAGAAAGAGAGACAGCTTGAAATCTCGAAAAATAAATAAGAAAAAAATCAGTACTGTTTGAATTCTGCCAAAATAAAAATTCAAGTTCTGTACGACTGATTTCAACAACAAAATAGCACGGGCAACACTTGAACACCACAATGAAACTGTTCCCTTCAGTATGTTCCTTACTTACTAATTGAAAGATTTTTTCATGACTAATGAAATCGTTCTGACTCGCCAAGCTAAAGACGGCGTGAGAGATCTAAATAATTGGCCAACGCACCGACTGCCGGTGCGAAGATGCGTTTTTTGCATAGTTCCTCGCAGATTCTTGTCGCTAACGACAGTTTTTCTAGCTAAATGAAGTGAGACTGGCCGCCAAGATTGTGAGAAAAACATTCCCTTGAAATTTTAGCTTTCCAGCTTTTCTGGCGCCCGAATTAGCAATTTATCCGCTAAAAAGTTCGATAGGCCCGTAAGTGGGAACCGCATGGGCAAGGTCGCCATTTGGGGATAGCTGCTCGTACATTTATGTAGAATAAGTGCCCAAAGTTTCAGTCTTGTAGCTTTTGTAGGTTTCGGGATGAAAAATCGGCACAGATGCACACACAGACAACCTCTCGACAATATGCGCTTTGCGTTGCATAGATGTAAAAAAACGCATAAAAAGTGTAAAACTGTAATGGGGATACCTTGCTGAAGTCCAATCGATCGGTATAAATAGCATTCAGAATGATATGTGCATAGCTACGAGGAAAGAGATGCTCGTTGATGACAATTTCGAGTTTCTGCCCGCAAGCGATACGTTTCTCAATCAGCGAACGCAGATACTTGGACCGTGCAGCTAGAATCGCCCCCGAACATTTCAGCCGATAGTCGCGATTCCTCCCTCTCCCTGAACGTGTGGCAGCACTCATCACAAGGATGCTGTCAACCGAAAAAAAAAAATGAAAAATGAACGGAGGATCAAACCCCACTTTTATTCGTACTGCTTCCAGCTGTAAAAATCAGCGTACAATCACTTTTATCGGATTCAAAACTGCACAAATCGTTGGGAAGCGAACAGCCACAACCGAACCTGTAAATGAGATGTGCCTAAAAGTCGCACACATCAATTATCCACTACTTGTTTTCCCAACAATCAAAACCACGCACTAGAACAATACAAAAAAAAAACCAATCACTGCCCCTTCAGTTCTAATTTGGATATTTTCGCACTGCTTTTAGAAACTGCTCAGGATTAATTCCTAACAAATTCCCATCTACAAGTGATGGCTGCTGTTACGAAGGATGAATTAGGATGGCTACTTGATAAGCTGAAAGAGTGTCTAAGTAGAAAACGGGACGTAATAAAAACATCTGACACTTCCTTCTGGAATAACGAAGGCCATCAGGATCACCACGTTGCATAGCTTCAGTCACAGCAAAAACACAGCAATTGTTCAAAATAAGCCAACAACGCGATGCAACACAAAAATAACGACGTTTTTTCTTCCTTTTAGTTACAACCTTTTTCATAACTTCATAAAATATTCAAATTATCAAGGCTTGCGAAAAAAAAAAATGCCGCAATTCAATGCTACAGTCAGTGGATTTGCAGCAAGGCTCAAAAAAAAAAA